GTCAGGCTCAGTGGGCAGGCTGGGGGCACACGCAGTTTGGAAGGTGTTCTCAGGCACTTGGGCTCAGTCAAGGGGGTGGGTGGTGGTGTGTTCCTCTCCACTCTCGGGCTCGGGATTGTTTTTTTTTCCTCTCCACTTGGATTTTGCTTGCTGGTTTGGAATCTGGCTGTGTTCGTCCACCGGTGGGGGGATGCTATTTCTGTTCTGTTTTCTATTGTTTCAATTACTTAGTAGTACTAGTACTGTTAGTATCACTATAAGTTTCATTTATGTAATTAAATAGTTCTAATCTCAACTTTTTATGAGCTTCCCTTGTTTTTTTTCCTCTGAGTCTTCCTCACTAGGAGAGGGGGGGACGGGGACTGGTAGGTGAGTGAGTGACTGTCTAATACTTAATTGCCAGATTAGGCTAAACCACAACAATGTCCAAAACTAGTATTATAATCACATTTCAGATCTCAAGTTTAAATGCCATTTTCCTATTTTTTCTATGAAGAACTTGCTCTGAGATCTTCTGAGTTTCTCCAAGTCTTCGTAAGTGAGCGGTCCTTTCGGCAATTCTAGCAAAGTGCTCTGTGTGTCCAGTATGTTCTCTGCTTCACCTTAATAACAAAAAGAAATTAATTAAGTTCCCTCACAGTTACTGTGAGAAAGCAAAGGAAGTGGGGGAAAAAAACCCAGGAAACTTATTAAGCTGTTTCGGTTTGGGCCAAACCAACAAAATACCAGGTCACACCTATGTATTTTACAAACTGATGCCAGTGTAGTATTAAAGTTGTCTTTATGGAATTTTGGGGTAACTGCACATGGAAGTGTTTGGTCTGAACTGAGTATCTGCTGGAGGCTGCATTTATTTGAAAGAATTTCAGCCAAAACAATCAATTGTGCTGTCATCGTTGGCATTTCTGTTAGCCCCTTTCTCCTAAGAACTACACTGAGTTATAATAACATTTCCTTTAGAGATTTATTATACACATACTTTGGAATAGAGGCATGAGATACAGCAAGGACGTAGCAACACCAGTGCTTTAGTCCAATCCCATACTGTATTTGGCCAATCAGGAATCTGAGAAGAGGGTGAAGAAGATTTCCTAAGGCAGTTACCTAAACATGCAGTCTTAACCGCAGAGCAGGGAGAAGTTGTGGGGTGCAGAATGCCGTGGGTTAGGCTGGAATGAAAACATCTAGGACAAAGAATCCAAAAACCAAAGATACAGACTGAATGTCATACATAAGCCGTGGTGGTCTGATCGTGATATAAGAAAGGATGAAGATTAGGCAAAAAATGTATTTGTTTTGGCTGATGCCATTTGGTACAATGCCAACAACCTTGTTTACCTATGCCTTAGCTCCTAGCTTGATGATCATTAGGGCTGTGATTTGAAGCTGTATTTATGTGTAATAAACCTGACTGAATGTTGCAATGCCATCAGGATTGTGGTCGTTCTTTAAAACAGGTCTGATGGCTGAAATGTCCAGCTGCAACTTTGGTAGCATACAGTGCTTGGGATCTCCACACATCGGTAACGTCTACTGCGAAGACACTGGTTACCACTCACAGTAACTGGTAATAACACACTATCAGTCAGTTGCATTTAGCGTCTGGTTATGGAACAGCAAGAGATCTCAGGACACAGAAAGATGGTACAGATAGTAAAATCTCTGTGCCTGTCACTCACATGCATTAGAGCAGATTGTCCAGGCACCATCCTTCTCACATGGCTCAGGACACGAGCAGTGAGCTAATCTAAATCTTGGAAAAGGTAGCCAGAGTTTCACTGCTTAGTGGAGAAGTTCCATGCAGCTGAAGGCTGCCTATACAACCTTTCCCCTCCTCCAATCACTTGTCTGAAAAAACACCAGCAGTAGATGGCTAGTTTCCAAGGCCAAGAACACAGATAGCAAGTCCATGACTGTTTCTCAGTGTCCTCAGCCATTTAGAAAAGACAGTGCACCAAGGGCTGTTCCACAGCCCCGCCATCCTCAAAAATTCCGTTTCAATACATGGTCCTGGCACACTTGCGGCTTATCAACAGCACAAGCAGAACTCAAAACGGTATTTCCTCCTGTGTCCTTGCTTTTTACTTTAATTATAACATGCTATAAAACAGGAAAAAAAAACCCAACAAACAAACAAAAAAAAAAACCCAAACCAACTCTGATCTCACTGTGTGAGAATAAGCAAGTCATGAGAAAATGTTCGGACAAGTAGGCTAGAGACAGGAAAAAAACCCCAAAACTGTAAGCAAGGTCAGACAAAAAGCTCAGTGAAGGAGAAAGAGAGACATCTTCTAGGGGTATAAACCGATTCCAAAGAATGGAGAGCAGATGCAGGGCTACTTGGTCAAGGTGGTTCAGATAGAAGGAAGACTGTGCAGCACAGAAATAACTGCAGGTTAGCTTAGGAGAGGAAACTGGCCGTGAAGCTAAAGAGAGGCAGACCCTGGAGGAAAGAGATCAGTCAAAGGGGGAATGGTAAAGGGAATGGTGTGTACATTCATTATTACACCACCGAGGTGAAGCATGGCATGCACCAAGAGAATACATGGGGAAGCAGAGAAGTGGTTGAGGAGGTATTCTGGGAGTGGACTCAGGGATCAGATGAGTAATAAGAACATGCATTGTGGCTGCAGGTCAATTGTGCCATTAAACCTTCTCTTCAACTACTTAATTTTGATCTTAAAATAAAAATGAACTCCTGAACCCAATTTCCATCTAATTACAAACCACCTTCTGATTTCCAGCCCAGATTCATTCACGCAATTCCACTTCCTTTTATTCTAGTGCTGATATTAGTAATTAGTTCCATTTCCTTCTCTTATTTTCATTTATCCTATCCTGTAAGCAGGATCTGTAGATCCAAATCTCTCAGGTCTTTTTACAAGACTAAACAACCATAATTTTGTTTTCTCTCACAACACACCGCAGCATTCCCCGATAATTTTAACTCTGCAGTAATTCTAGATTCCTTACACAGAAGTGTTCTAAATGATGTACAAATTTCTAAGGAAGGTATTACTGTTTTCCTGCATCAATACCTTCCTACCTATACTCTCTATTTGTACTAAGGTTGTGGAATATCCATCCCTGGAGATATTCAAAAGCCTGGGCAACTGGCTCTAGGTGATTCTGCCTGGGCAGGGAGGTTGGACCAGACAACCTCCAGAGGTCCCTTCCAACCTCAACCATGCTGTGACAGTAGGAAACCTCACCTGACTCTCATAATTTCATCACACTACTGGATTATATTCATTCTTTCATCACCTAATACTCTCAGGTTTTTTGCTGTTTCAAACATTTCCAGCTGGTGAGCTCTGATGGCAGAAATCCCTGTTAGGTCAGTGAGAACCTAGAGACTCCTTTTCAAATTGAATCCTATTTTATTATCTCAGTTTTTTCAAATCATCAATTCTTCTTGTGCTGCAGTTTATTTCCTCTCTGTTGATGACACCAATCAAGTCTGTCATCCACAGATTTGATTAGTACAACATGCTCATAATTTCAAACACAAAACAAAGGCAGAACCAGAACAAGTCTTGAGGAATATTGCTAATAACCCTGCTAAGCCCAAACCTTTGACATCTTCTCTTTACTCCAATGCTTACCTGTCTACTGACTTCCCCGTCCTTCACGCTAACTTAATCTTCATGTGATACTACACTAAATGCTTTCCTGAGTTTATAGCAGATCTACCACATTTCTTCTGGAAGAGAGACATTATTTTCCCGGAAAAGACAGAGTGGGTTTGGCATATTTAATTTTATCTTATTGTCATTTGAGTCCCCAGCTTCTTTTCTCCAGAACCTTTTCATAAGCCTTGCATACTGCTGAAGTTGCCCTGGTGGATCTGAAGTTACGAACAGGACTTTTCCTTTCTGGAAAGCAACAGGATGCCAGATTGCCCCTCTTCAACCTACACTAGGACCACATGGTCCTCAGTAAACACATTATGTCCTCTTGACATGGGGTCTGCATTACAACTCCTTCAAAATTCTGGAATGAAAATGACCTCATTAAAAAATATTAACAAGTCCCAAATTCCAAGTTTTCCTTCTGTACTGTATGTACTAATCTCTTTTTCAACACACTAATTTCCAAGAGCCGCACAGTTTTTCTCCATGCACTTACCTGCCTATTCATATTAAAAGGTAAAGAAGTGCATTTAGTGGGGTTAGCAATTGTTTGCAGATACACACTGCTGCATCACATTTGGACGTAAGGAAGAAGTTCTTCACCGAAAGGGTTATCACGCACTGGAACAGGCTGCCCAGAGAGGTGGTGGAGTCACCATCCCTGGATGTGTTTAAGAGACGGGTGGATGAGGTACTGAGAGATATGGTTTAGTGGCGGACAGATACGGTTGGACTGGATGATCTCTAAGGTCTTTTCCAACCTAGTGATTCTATGATTCTATGATCTGTACAGGACTTACCGTATCAGGGCACCTATATACAGGGCTCACCGTATAGGAAAACATCCCTATACGGGACTTACCGTATAGCAGGGCACCTCTATACAGGGCTCACGATATAGAATGGCATGTCTATACGGGGCTCACTGTATAGCAGGGCATCTCTATACGGGGCTCAACCTATAGCAGGGCACATCTATTAGGGGCTCACCGTATAGCAGGGCACCTCTATACTGGGCTTACTGTACAGCAAGGCACCCCTATACAGGATTTACCATATAGCAGGACACATCTGAGCGACTGAGGGAACTGGGCTTGTTTAGCCTTGAGAAGAGGAGGCTGAGAGGAGACCTGATCACTGCCTACAACTACCTGAAAGAAGGTTGTGCAGAAGTGAGTGTTGGTCTCTTCTCCCTAATGACAGATGATCGGACGAGGGGGAATGGACTCAAGCTGCGCCAGGGGAGGTTTAGATTGGACGTAAGGAAGAAGTTCTTCACCGAAAGGGTTATCACGCACTGGAACAGGCTGCCCAGGGAGGTGGTGGAGTCACCATCCCTGGATGTGTTTAAGAGACGGGTGGATGAGGTGCTGAGAGATATGGTTTAGTGGCGGACAGATACGGTTGGGCTGGATGGTTTCTAAGGTCTTTGCTATGATTCTATGATCACCTAAACAGATCTGCATCTGTGTGCAGCAGGAAATATCTGTTTGTCTAATTAATCTACCGTTATCTTCAGTGAAGTATGCAGAGTTAGGAAACCTAGCTCTTAGGTCTGGAGGCTAAGACAAAGAGTTCAAACAAATTTTTATTTTGTTTCAGAATGTTTGTGTCTGTAGCAGACAAGAAAATCATGCTAGTTAACTAAGATGATTTGTGAAGGTGACAAGCCATGGCTTGATGCTGTCCTCACTTACAGTGAATACTCTTTTAGCAGGTCTCCTTCACCAGGAATGAGAGCTGACATAAATGCCCCTCCGTAATCCTCAACATGCATCACTTAATCAGACCTGCCACTGGCAACTATGAGGCAAGACCCCACTTTCTGAGACTCACCTTTCTTTTTTCCATTTTAGCAGGGGTCTGCGGCAAGATGATCAGCTAACGTGTGTTTGGTCATGAAGGTATGAGGGCATGATTCCTGCCTGCATCCCTTTATCTGCTCATGTCATCCCTACTCCCTGCCAGAAAAGCAGCATCGGAGTGGAATATGGAAGGAAATCACTACATCTGTCCTTCATCCCAAATACACAGTGCTTACTTCAGCTGTATTTATTGCCTTAGAACTCACATTTTTTGAAATAAGACACGAGAAATTAAAAAACAGTCTTAACTGGAGGCAAAGTCTGTAAAAGTAGAGTTAGTACTCTTGACTGACAAATTATCAGACTGTAACAGAGAAGGAAAGAAAAGAAACAGTACGATTTTTGTTCAGAAAAAAAGAGAAAAATCTATTGCTAGCCTTCTCGCAGCCATTCTAGGAAGGTAAGCAGTTATCTGAAATATTGTTTGGTTCTATGTGCGAACCAGACAGACATATACACATACCTTTCACCCTCTGCAAGACCGTCCCATAGCCCATATCATACTGATAGGCAAAAATAAAGCTTAAGGGAACTATGGCCAGTAGAACTCCTGGGTTCTTCTTTTTTATTGCTCTGTTTAAAAAAAAAAGAAGGAAAAAATGAGATTATTCAGGACATTCAGCACATCAGTACTATTAGTTTAGGTTGGCCTTGACTGTCTAGGACTTGTGTCTCCTTCTACACTCTCTAATCAAAGAACAACAAGTCTTAATTTCCTCAGAAGCATTTGTCTTCTGGTTGCCTTCTTGCTCAACTGTCAACCCAAAAGGTAATAAAAAAACATGCTCCAAGTGAGTTTTGTAAATATCTAACGAAACTGGGTTTATCTAACTCATGTAGCATGCACGTGCACATGCATATATCCATCCAGCCACATGCAACTCGTAGCAATCAAGATATGTTCGGTTCCAAACGCATCTGAGTCCACAGAGAATGCGGAACGCGAAGTGCATTTAATCTGTACTATGTACACAAGCTCACAGATATCTCCTACATTCTTTCTGATCATGTTATAGCACAAGAAAGACACGGTACCAAACAAAAGTCCTATAAGGCAAGTTCTTCCCCATGCAATATAGCTTTATTAGCCATTTTTTCCCCCTTGGGTGAGCTTCTTGATTCAATTTTTAAGTGAATGGATTTCAGAATATGCCCACTTGTTTAGTGAAATAGTAAAAATCCCAGATGATGGAGGATTTGTTGCTCATTAATAGTTCATTAACTCACAATATAGACAAGTAAGTAGCATAGCTTTTAAACAATCCCTTCTGTTCCATACACCACTTATTACACATAGAACTTCTGGCACCTCAGCTGTACCATTTTATTGTCAGTTCACATGTCTGCTATTATGTAAGTCAACAGCACAGACATAACCAAAACACATCTGGAAGCAGACAGAAATCAGAGTCACTTTGCCATCCAATCAGCCTCTGAGCAGTTACTGTTTAAAAATAACTAGCTCTGACAATGCAAAGGGAAGATACAGCATCACAGAAATATAAATGTAATATATATTTTCTGTTAGGAAATAAACATTGTACCCAGCTGTTAAACCTACAGCAGCAAGTCCAAAAAATGTCCCAAAATATTTGAGAAATTCCCGTGTCCAAGCAATCTGCATGGCTGTTTGTCTCTCTCTCATCTGGTTCTGCATCAGTAGTTGCCTTTCCAGCTAAAATAGGGAGAGAGGTTAAAAAAAATAAAGTCATTTTTAAAGACTGTCAATCTCTCATTAGTTTGTAAATCCAAAACACTGAGAAGGTTTCTTTTTTGTTCTTTTACTTCAGTCATCAATAGGTTTTGATTGAAAATGGTTTTCTTCAGTAATAACTCAGAACAGTTTATACCAAGAACGCATTTGGGTGAATTAGCATATGCTTTAATGCAGAATGTTTATAATGCTGCTGCTGAAGGTCAAGAAAACTCAAACACCAGTGTCAGGTTTTGAGAGCTCCCCAGGTCTCAGCAGCACTCCCTCTAGGCTGAGGTTCTCTGACTTTTGCATTTCCATGGTGATAGTCTACCAGCTAGCTACTTTCCAATTTATTCTGCTAGATTCTAATTTAGCTGATAGCATCTTTAGAATCAATTCTGATACCTCTTTGCCCTTTGAGGGTTTCTCTTCTTCATGATGCATCATAAAGTTAATAACTCCTTCGAAATGCCATAGTTTACAATATAGAAAAAACCCTGTGAAGATATCAGATCTTTTAAAGGTACTAGAACACACATGAAAAGTCCGTAAGAAAACACTTCTGTAACAAAATTAAAAACACTAATGCAAAAAGTAAAATCTAGGCAGTATATTCACACATCAAAGTAGAACTTTTTATGGTACATAAGAATAAAATAGCAGATTATTAGCGTTGGTTTGGGTGTGGTTTGGTTTTGTTGGGGTTTTTTTTGTTTGTTTGTTTGTTTTTTTGTTTTGTTTCTATTTATATGCCCCATCTTAACATACTGGTATAGTTCCATTAAGTAAAGATAACTTCAGTATTTCTTAAAAGACCCTCTCTATTGTACAGAAAACCAAATAGAACAAATAACTTTCCTCCTCAGACTGATGCAAAAAAATAACTGTGCCAAAAATAAGCAGTCTGAAACCAAAGTACAGAAGTTAGTTAGCACAGTAAGAAGTCTGCTTCTTCCCATTAATATTTGTAACTCATTTTTTGGGAAAAAAAGGGAGTACTTGAGTTGGTATGTGTAGCCTTGCTAACCAAGTTGCATAAAAAGTCCAACAAGGCATAGGAAACAGAATACCAGCTGCCTAAAAAACTGTATTCTGGAAAAGAAAGAACAAGGAGAGAATGCAGAAAGTTCTCTTCTTGTGAATCTATAACAGTAATTAAATCTGTTCTTTTCTCCTGTTTTCTAATTCAAGAATAATTTAAAGGATTTGTAATTACTTAAGATTTCCACCCATTTATTCATCTCCATTACTATTGATTTAGACTGAACAGAACAATTTCTGTTAAATTGTTACTAATTACTTCTTCAGACTATGTTGATCTTGCTATCTTATTTACAAGCTCACTGAGTACCTAGATAGGTAGAATTAATTTTTTTAGACAGCATAATAAAAAAAGGACAGATCTAATTACACATAATTGTACACAGTAGGAAAAACAACATTCACTGTAGTCTCACAGTACTGTTCCATCTGTTTCTCTTTCCTCAAGACTTACATTGCAATTGTTATTCTCACAAAAAATATCAACAGGCTTTACCTTCCTGATATCCATATTTTTCAAATCGCCTTTTTTTTTTTTCAGAAAAATTAATTATATAATGACTGACAAACCACTTAATATAATATCAGAATAATTAGATTTTATTTTGTCACCTATGAGACACTTGGAAATTCTAAGGTAAACAAGCACACTGCCTGTTAATTAGCCCCATTGTGGTCCCCAATATCCTAAGCCTGGTAAATTGCTGAGGGTTGATGTGACAAGATAAAATAATGACATGTAATAACCACTTAATGACCTCTATTTTCCCCTTCAATTTGATTATGTATGTAGTTTGCACACGTGTGAAAAGTATTAAGGGATCCTTTGTTTGCCTGTCAGCACAGATAAGGAGCCTGCGCCTACAAGATGCACAGTATTACCCTAAATGAGCTTCAATTTGAAGAATTAGATGGGGAAGAAGTGGGACAAGGATATGCTGATGAAATATAGGTCTTGCTAAAAGGAAAATTAATGGAGAAGAAGAAAAAGAGACAGTTTAATATGCACAAAGCGTAGAAAAAAGTAAGCATGGAATAAAAAGAAAGCGTAAATCTATGAGAGTAAACCAAAGTATTCTAACATGGTTTCTTTGAAGAAAAAAAACCAAACCAAAACAAAAAACCCCAAAACAACTCCACCTCCCCTCATCCCCCCCCCAAGGTAATACTTTGATAGCTCTTTAAAATCCAAGTACTGAAAGAAAAAGATATTACTAAGCCACAGACACTAAGGCCAAACAAACACCTTTCTGCAGGAGACATAGCAAATTTCAGGAGCCCAAAGATACTTTCATGTATATCTACAAGGAATTTATATAAATAACTTACTATAAATGAAAACAACTTCTTTTGTATATTATAAACAGCAGACAGATAACATAATCAAATGATTTTTCATATTATTTTCTAACCAGAAGAAATATTTTGTTTTCCACTGTAAAAATCAACTCTCAACTTTCTACATGGTAGCCCATCCAAAAATAAGGGGGGTGGGGGATGCATAGAAAAATGCTCATAATTCCTTTCCTTTGACCAAACTTCTTAAATGTGGATGTAGAGTCTTACCTAAATGAAACACAATACTGTATTTAAATTAATTTCTGAACTGGAGGGAAGCTCTAGACTGAGCAATCTTAGAGAAGAGTGCTTTGTGTGTACACTGGGAAATGTGGCATGGCCAAGAAAAGGTTTCAGAGGAATCTTGATGCACAGAAGGCACTAAAAGGTAGATCTAGTAACATTTAGCTAAATTAACAATTTAATTCCCATTATTAGTGTTAAATGTTACAATGAACAGTTTACCATACATCTGTTTTGTCCATAACCTTACAATGGGGCACCCAGAAAGCCCCTAGTTGTTTTTAGGGATGCTAGGTAATCTACAGTACTGCTGCAGAGATTTGCTTTTAAAACTATTTTTCATTTAGTTCTAAGTTATACGGGGAAAATCTAGTATCAACACACAAACTTCACTACACGTGATCCAAAAATCTCTCTGAACCTATGCAATCTTAGGCTAAACGGAGGAATATCTCTCCCAAATCCCAGAAATGCCCTTTGTTCTGTCGTCCTTTACTCTGAAAAAAAAATCTTCATTCTTGCTTTCTATTTCCAAGACCAGTTTTGTCACTTGCATAGTTTCATCTTACTCAAACAAAAGACTCTGGTGCTGTAGCTGTAGGACTGCAACGGGAATAGGCAAAACAAAGAGATTCAGTCAAGTGTTTCAGGGCAATCCCTCACCGCCTTCACTAGATTTCAAGCTTTCCTCAAGGAAAGCAAAAACTGAGCAGTAAGTATGGCCAAAATTATCCCAGAACATATTGTTCCATCAGACAACTTAAACTTACCAGAATAACTGTAGAAAACACCGTCTGGGCTATGCCTGAGCTCTTTTCAGGAGCACTGTAGCCGCTGCACTGCTGGATGACATGGGCCAGTGCTGCCGACACATTCCATGCGTGGGCACGTTCCATGCGTGGGCTCCAGCAACATGTGTTCAGGACAGCAGGGAACACCCTGTGACCGGCTGAGAGACCAGACATAAGGCAGGGCACCTATCCTACCCTGGATCATCAAAGACTGCTTTAAGATATCCAGGCTTGACATCTGATCGGCTAAACAGGTTTATGAGCAATGTTTTACACTGAAAGAATGTATGTGTTTAAATGAATGTTGGATGTTCTAAGTTGCAAAACTAAGCACCTATATGGGCACTCAAGCAACTCATATGTATCCCTATCATTCAAAATTTAAAAAAATTCAGAGGCAATATCCTTGGGCTTACTGATTTAACATGCCATTCTGAATTGAACATCTTGAGCTCTGACAGTATTGAACAACCAGGATACCCTGATACACTGACTTTACACTGGCAAACAACTACTGGTAGATCATAAGGCAAAACTGTAATATTAGGATTACATTAACGAAGCCAGGAATTGAAAGCAGATCTATATAGGGAAAACCTCAGGAGACTACCACAAAAGATGATTCCGAATTAGATGAAAGACAGAAAACCAAATCATGCTTGACTGCAGTTCAAATCAATATCCCATTTTCAGCTGTTATCTTAGTAATTGCGTCTTATTTTCCTCCAGATGTGTCCTATTGAAAATGCCAGCCACACTGGGGTAGTGAAAGGGTGGAGAAGACTTCTGACCTATTAACATGCTGATTTTATGACAAAGGCCAAGTCCTGCTCCCTTAGGACTTATTATGCGATGATGTCTATCATGATTTCTTTTCCCATTATAGCAGTTCAGAAGCAAGGATTAAGAGTAGGTAGTCATTATACTGCAAACCATAACTTCACACATAGAACTCCATAGGTAGTAATATAAAAAAAAAGTTTATCATTCAAACATAGCATAAGTGTGCTGTGGGTTATTTAGAATAATCTCTCTGATGGGAAAACTCGATTATTGAGGAAACAAGCCACAGGTGCAGACCACACACAGCAGGTGAACAACAGTTCACTGTCCAAGTTAACTGATACTATGGAATAAATTCTATTTTATTCTAAATACATAAGCCTCTCACCTATACAGCCACAAAAACTTTAATAGGGGCTATTTAGATGACTATGCTTGTATAAAAAAATACAGGTAAAGGTTCTCAGGTGGGAGGAAGGGAAGATGCTGTAGTTTTTATAGCCAGGTTGCTGTGCATGGCACAAGAGAGCTGAAGCTGTGATGTGGATGTATGCATACACATCCAAACACACTTTTCCATTACTGTTAAGAAAACGCACCCTGCAATATTCAGACCATGTTTTAGAGGCTCATATACAAGTACACTTAATACCATAACCTAAAAAAACCTATATCAATTTCTGCGAATTTAATTGCATAATGGACACATTGTTTTAAATGAGTTGCAACTTCTTTACCAGTAATAAATATTGATCATGTAAATTTAAATTTTAAGTCTGGTATTTCAAAATAAAGCGGGTACTAGTAGCAAGTAACATCTTATATTTTCTAACACTCTCAGAGGGCTCAATTAGAAATAACTTTCCCTTTTTTTTTTAACGGAGCCAGTAGTTTCTCAACACCGTTTGAGAAACTGTAAGGGCTGATTAGCATTTGAAGTCTGCCACATGACAACTGTTATAGTAAAAGGAAATCAATCTGACAAAATGAAACATGACAGATGAAGAGAAGGGAGGCAGAAAGAGAAAAGGTCAGTTACTGTGAAACTGATAATGCTAATAAACTAGTCAGTGGTAACCATCCTTATCATTTCTATTGATTATTCTTCAGACTGTCACAATGATGTCAAGTCACAGAAAAGAGCATTTATACCATTATTTCATTGATTAAAATCCAGTGGGAGAAAATTCTCATCTGAAATAACTTAATCAACTTTGACAACTTGCAAAAAATTGAACGGTCCTCTCTGGA